AATCACTGGCCTCTTCGACACGGAGTGTTGGCACAGTGCTCGTGATCGATTACTCGTCATCCGCGCGCGATGCGATGTCCCGAGTTCGACGCCCACCGCCCGCTGCCAAACCAAACGTACTTCTTTCTCTTTTTTCCTCTACTATCCTCCATCCCCCCTCACTCCTGACCGTCGTTCCTCTAGGCTCGATCCTACTCGCTCGTCGTCCAGCTTTCTCTCCGTCTCGCTTTCGTTGCATCGACCGTGGACGTACCACGACGGAGGTAGCCGTTGCGCAACGGACGTGTGTACGAGAGGAGGCTCTTCCTTTTTCCAGCGTGTCTGGCTTTGTGCGAGGCGCGAGCCAGAGAGCGGGGCCCGTTCCAGCGTACCAACAAATAGAGGGAAAGGATTGGGAACGTCGTCGCGGAATACGAGTCGATCTCTGCCAAATCAAACTTCGGTCACTCTTCCGTTTTACCGGGCGGCTTCCTTTTCAGGAGCCCCTTCGTTCGAGGTATCGATTTTGTCTACGGTGGTCACCTTGCGGACAGGGACGTCTACCTTTCCGCCGATTTCGTCCGCTTTTGTTCGGTAGTACCGTTTGTAGACCTGATTCTTTCTTACAAGAGAATATACCGAATTGACAATCGCCGATTTTGATGGAACTGTGTGAGATTATTGTTGTCATAAAAATATTTCACACGTATTCTTTTTTTTTTTAGCTGCTCTTATCGACGTTACACGGGTGAAAACAACCCTCCAAGTTAGGGGTTTGAAATGTATTCTGTCGAATATCTCGGAAACTATTAGAGATAGAAAAGCGGTATAAATCGAAATTCCAATTGATCCGTATTTTATATTTGGGTATATAGTTTTCACATACAAATGTAGAAGAAAATCGATTAACATTTGACCAGAAGAATGAACAGAAAATGCTGTTTTTTAAATGTATTGTTTAAACAAATGGATTATTCTGGAATCCAATAATATAATTGAATTTCTTATTAAAAAACACAATAGTGCAATTTACACCGTTTTTCTATCTCTAATAATTTCCGATATATTCAACAGAATACTGTTCACACCCCTAAATTTGAGGATTGTTTTCACCCTTTTAACGTGGATAAGAGCAGCTAAAAAAAAATACGTGTGAAATATTTTTATGAGAAATATAAACTCACACAATTGCATAAAAATCGGCGATTGTCAATTTGGTATGTTACCTTGTTAGTGTAGGGTAGCTGTACCAATTACTGCCAGTGTACCTAATACTGCCACTTTATTTATTTCAGTTAATAAAAACGAAACGGTGTATGAAGAATTGCGTACAACAAATTTTATTATTAAATTGAGACTCTGATTTACGTAAAAACAATAAATACATGTACTTGTATATACCTGGTGTTCAAAAATTAATGTTGAAAAATGAAAGTGCGTAGGAAAGTAAGTAGGAAATGATGACGAAAGCATATTAAAGAAAGAGCCGTAATTTTATTGTTCAACCTATATATCTTGCATAAAATGAATTGTTAAAGTGTATAAGAATTATTTTAATGATACAACTAATAAAATGAGTGATAGGTATTTATTGTTAAATTATGATAATTAACGGTGACATTATTAGGGGTAATATTTTTCGGCTTGTCCCTATCACTGTCGTCAGTATTCGGGACGAAAGAACGTGACATGTAAGAGTAGGTCCGCGTGACTGTCATTTGGGTCATTTGCAAAGTTCTTAACTCTAACCTCAGATTTGACGTGTGAAACGTATCCTCTGATTCTTCATTGTAATTTCTATTATTTATAATTTAGTAGGGTTATTTTATTTATAATTGTGTACGTTTGTTGCTTGTAATATTTAATTCTTCTATAGTTTGCATTGGATTTTAACTAAAGTTATTTAGTTATGTACTGGCAGTAATATTGTCTCATTGTCAATAATAGGAACCGTCAGACATCTGAGCACATTTAATAGGACTGACGGTTATTGGGTGACAGTTATAGGGACAAGACGATTTTTAACACGTTGACTGCCACAGTGAAAAAGGCCGTACGTAGCCAGACATACTTTATTTCGTTTTTTAAGTCATAAATTGTCGAAAATATTTGTGTTTAGTTAATAGAGGCTATAGGTCTTGTTTTACATTATACTGCGATATTAATGTCATGCAAACATTTTATAACAGTGTTTAAATAATCCAGGCACTTTTCAATGTACGTGTCACCCATATTTGGGTGACGTGGCAGTCAAAGTGTTAAAGTGACAGTAATAGATACAATGGGATACTCGCAGATTTTAAGTAATTATTAATTAATTCTTCACTTCTAATGTATTAAACTATTTTTTTAATGAAGGGGATATTGAATAATATTATGTTCTAAACTGACACGATTTATAGGTTAAACAACACGTAAAATGTTAAAATGAACTTACGCTACAATCTTAAAATGGCAGTAATTGGGATACCTACCATACATCTCGTTTTTAAGGTTTGTTTTATGACAACTAGAATCGGGGTAATAACAATTGTATTAATTTTGCACTGCAATATAATCTCTGCTATTGCCATGGAAAATATACTGAATGTATTAAATTGTAACACCGAACATCAGTTCTGATAGATATTCCCGTACAGTAATGTCAAACATTCATCGTTCCCTAGATGTATTACTATGCATCAGAAAATACGCGTTTCGAAGTTTCAATTTGTTTAATAATAAATTCAACGGAAATTAATTGCAATTGTTAAAATTCATCCCACCAGGATTTATGCTATTCAAGCATTGCTGTGCTACATGAAAAATTAACGAGAAATCAATTATGATTAAGACTATACAATATATTTTACGGCATCCTAATATAAAGAAACCGGTTAAACAATGGAATATTACCCTGATTACAAATATTCAATAATAATTCCAACCTTCAACCTATCGGAAATCATTTCCAGCTATCAGCAATCCGTTCAGTAATATAAACTCATAGGATCCAAACTTCAAGATCCACCTCAGCAATCAAAGAGCCCCAGAAGCAGGGACGTAAACCAGTACGATTTTGATACCGGTATTACGCCATCAAAGCTATACCGATATATTACCGAAAACCGAAATAAATACCGGTATCCTTTCGATTTCTATAAGAGTAAGGCGTATATAAAGTTATACAGAGCGAAGGTACAACCGAAAATATCGGTATAATACCGCTATAATTGCGTTTCGGTAGAAGTCTCTGCCCAGAAATTCAAGAAAATCCAATCCTGTCGAAATAAATGAATTCCTTCATTCCTTCATTAATAACGTCGAACGAAGAAGCATGTACTGTAATATCTCGATGAGTGCGACGTACTCGGGTCATTCGAGCATTCTTGTCACTTCCTCTCGTCACTTCGGAGCATTCGTGGCAAGGCGGAAAGGTTTTCAACCCCTCATAAATTTCTTTTTTATCTAAACCGAGCCTCTGCTTAGCTTCTGTTTACTCTGTTTAGATTGGGTCTACAGGGGGACTCCCCCAGTGGTGGGAATAACGCCGTTACTTGTGTCGCACTCATCGAGGGATCAGTGTAAGAGGGAAAAATGGACGATTGCCAACGGCAATAGAGAATTGGCAGCAATCGAGGCGTGACTCGTGTCCCAGACACCCCTATTCTCGTTTCTGGACGCATCCTCCCGTGACCCCACATCCCCCGTCTCACCTTGATAATGGCCGACACGACGGATGAAGAGGGGTTTGTGTGCTGCTGGGAACGTGTACAGGGGGTGCAACTGTGTATAGATTAATGGACAGATAAGACTGTTATTATATGGCAGCTCCTTAAGACAATAGAGCCGGCAATCTGCGATCTTTTTCGAGGCTTGAACGGAGGGTAATTTGGATTCCGTTTCAAGCGGAGTACCGTCAAATCGCGATAACGTCGACGATCCAGTACCGTCCTGTGAGCCGCGCGGCTCGGCGATTGGTTTATTGAAACATTAATGAGAGGATGAAATTGTTTTTCTCAAGTATGTGGTTTGTTGTCCCTGGATGAGGGTTGGGATGTAGCGCAGTTGGAGTCTGTTTACATAATTATGTGGAATAAATGGCTCTTTCACAATCGCGATTGAATTTAACTGTCTGCTTCTTATTTTTTATTTTGTACTATGTTCACTCACGGTCGTCAATTAAGTATGAAACAGATTTGGATGAGTTTCACGAATTTTTACTTATTCAGCTATTATGTTCTCCTAGGTAATATTACATTGTTCCATAATAAATGTTGTTTCTTAGTTCATTTGAACCAACTGAAAATCCTTAAACGTGAGTACAAGAAGCTTGCTCAAATTCAGATAGGTCTTATTTAGTTAGATTAAATGCCTTTGTTTAAGGTAACCGTCATTGTTGAACTCTGAAGTTAAAAAATTACATTTATTATGACCCAACCTAATGTTTATTCAACTCTATTAACACTTCATGTCATTATAAAATTTGTAACTTGTTACCGTTGACGTAGTTTGACATCATTTTAAAATTTATACCTTATTGCCATTTTATATTTAGAGAGGGGCAAATGACTTTATAATTCGTATTTATGATTACAGCAACTATCTCATAATGTATTAATTTCAAGTACATCAAAATGAATGTTTAAACGGAATTAAACATACTTTAAACCGAAAATCAAACAAATTTATTTATATGTTCTTCGGTTTAAAGTACAGAGAGCTAGGTCAATGCTTCACAACTTATTATACAAAAAAAGAGATATTAAATTTTATTTCTTGAAATTTATTTCATTATTTTGTTCAATCAATACGATTTCAGACACGGCATACTTGGTTCATTTGTATTTTGACCACAATACATACTAATTGAAAATTTGAGGTTAATTTTATAGTTATGCCACGTAGTGTACAAGTATATGTATAAATTAATGGTCCTATTATTAGCTGTTATCCTCTTTATTAGCTGTTTATTTTTAAGTGATATTTGCGAAGCTACTTAACAGAAGCTGTTAACAAATTATCGAGAATTCAGGACTCACCAGTCAGAAGAAAGAGCAGCACGGTCGAATTCATTCCCGAAGCCAAAATTCGTCGATGTGGAATCAATTCAACGCATTCTCGGCGCATTCTTGCAACAAACAGTCAATTATTTAGCGGAGGCAGCAAGAAAACTATCAGTTACAGTAATTCCTCGATTACGATCCCACATTATTGGGTGCCAACACTTTGAACATACGCTAAAATAATAAATAATGCGATTATGGCCTTTATTTTGTTTTTACAATTCATTTTCTGTCAGCTTCCACCTCAACCAGTTACGTGCGAACTTTTCAGCTCAAGGTCATTTCAAGGTCATAGTGTGATACATTGTTGGATACGTTTTCATCTCCTCTTTGTAATGGCAAACAAAAAAATACGGCATTCCATTTAAAAAAACGTTACCATTAGAGAAATCTCAGAAGATATGACCTTAAGATGACCTTCAATTTCATAGCCTAATTTCCCCTTAAAATACATTAACTTTCTCCCGAACCATTTTTTTATACCGTGACAAATAAGAGAATAATTAAGGGTGGCAGAGTTAAGTGGAACACCCTGTGTATATGTATACCTACATATACTAATAGAGTTCATGTTCGGAAAACTAAGTTTTAGTTTAGTACGTCGTTGTTATAAATAGTGCGAATTAATTATTGTAGGTTTTATTAATTATTGTAGGTTTTATTAAATATTGTAGATTTTAGTAATTATCGTAGATTTTAGTCATTATTGTAGGTTTCATTAAATATTCTAGGTTTTATTGATTATTGCAGGTTTTATGAAATATTATAGGTTTTATTAATTATTGCTTGTTAAAAATTACTATAAATAGTTATTATAAATTAATTAGTGTAGGTTAAAAATGAGTGTTAAATAATTATAAATTAATTATTTTGAGTGTTAGTTTTGTGTAACGTGTACAGTGTTAAACCCAACGGAGGAACCGCCGCTTGCGAATCTAATTAATCGCGCAGTGCGTGAACATTTTTCGCGGACGGGACAATCGCGCAGTGTGTGTGGACACTTTTCGCAGACTTCTGTGGTGTACGTGCATGTGCGGATTAATTTCATGGATACTCGTAGACAGGACAATTGTTATACGTGACAACTAGAGGGGGAATTAATCCTCTCTACTCGATAATATTCGTAAGAAGATATTTACATTTCTTGCGACTTTTATCGAGTAATCAGAGTTAATGCGATACAAGTGGATTCGACTCGAATACCGCGGGCACAAGTCATCGACATCTTCTACGGGGTAAGTAGACAGCTGTTCTACCGACTTTTCCTGTACGTCGTTGAGTCTTTAAAGTGACTGTTCGTCCCTTACGAGCCTTGATCTGCTGACACTCCGTGCGCGCGTATTGCCATCATTTGGGTCAATTTTTAAACGCTTATAACTAACAAACGAAGCATCTGTCGCAATTTCGTTATTCTTGACTTTCGTCTTATTTTGCCTCAAAGAATTACCCCTTAATTCTTTTTCCACTAGTAGTCGAACACCCTGTATATACGTCAGTATTCTACGAACTTTGTACACACCGTCGAATTTGGTTTTTCCTCTATGAAAAGTATTCTTATTGATTATTACTTTATTTACAACACTATTCTCATGACGTGAAGTGACAATCTTACTTACGTGAGCAAGTGTACCTTTGGTAATCGATTTATTAAATTCATTTCACTCGAACAACAATATATGAAATTTTTATAGCAAGTTCGGTTGCGAGAACGGGTCGGTCGATCTGTTAATGATCATCATGAGGCGTCATTGTTGCCAAACCGTACAAGTATTCCCATTGATGAGCTCGAAATAATTCATGGGCCTCCAGGCGCCAGTGAATTCAATAAATTCAAGTGAATGGTCCGGTGGAAGCGTAACGCTTATTACGGCTTCGCGTTTAACAGATTTTACGGGAGTGTTAACAGGCACAGGGCAAATTAGCATGGTACCCCTACATCTGCTGACCATTAATCAATTATTACGTTTTCGTGTGTGTGTGTGTGTGTGTGTTCCATGGGCCACCGTGTATAACCACCACCGGACCGACCGCGTAACATCCCCCCCGCGTAAAATTTCGACCGAATGGCCCCGTTAAACGATCCTGGCCGAAAAACCGCGGACTGGCAGCCGAACAGACATTTAATAACGTTAATAACGCGAAATTGTTAAAATTCGTTAAATTCGAATTGAAACAGTTCGAAACCGTAAACACACACCGTCTGCCTGCAGTTCTGAAGTCATTATGAGCGTACTGAATAACTAATTAATTATTATTAAATATTATTACAAATTTTCTATTTTATTCTAAACCTAATAAGATACATAAGAGAAAAAAGAGATTGCTATATTTGTTCTTTGTCAGTATGAATCACTTTATAAAAAGTTATTTTGCATGAAAATCCGCAGTCTAATAGTAATACTAATGTAGGGTAATTCCACGCTAAAGCGATCACTTTTACACTCGATGTCAAGGATTTTGTTCAAAATGGGCTATGACGTAGTCCACGTGGAATTAGGCGGGGTTTAAATCATCGTTTTTCCAGTTTCTAATTTGTTTAAAAAATACGGACCTTTCAATTTTGCGATTTTTACCAATTTTCGTGAAAATGGATTGTACTTATGAATTTTTATCGCGTCAACTATTTATCGTATTCGGTTGATTCTCCTTTTGTTTTAACCGAGAAGGATCAGCCTTCCTATATAATTTTCTTCCAGTTCGAAAATTATTTTTGCAATACTGAAAATTATAAATAAATTCTTATTTTACAAGTTTCGGCTCGAGCTCGCGATTTTAAAAATCCGAACAAAATACTACTGTATTCGTTGAAGTATTTTCCATAAAATAAGTCTATCTACATTTCGTACTTTCCGCTAATTTTCGTACTTTCCATACCACTACCACTACAGATTATTTTAATGAGGTCTAAAAATAATATCGATAGGAAATCATAAAAGAATATATAAACATAAAAAAAAACAAAGAAATTATAAATATTCCAGATAGCACCGCACATCCTAAGGACGTCCGTTTCGTGTCCAGTTTATATCCGAATGTCCTACGTCCATTTCGGACATCCCTAGGACGTTCGTAAGACTTAAATTTCGGATGTTCTAGAAACGTCCGGCCAAAAGTCCTACGGATATTCTCAAGACTTAAATTTCGGATGTTCTAGAAACGTCCGTCCAAAAGTCCTACGGATATTCTCAAGACTTAAATTTCGGATGGTTTCGTTTAGTATTTTTGCCAATGTCATTCCGTGCAAGGTGATGGAACCCCACGAACACGATGTTACTCTTTAAAGAATCAATAGAGAAGTGTAACGACACTAGTGGTTTTGTGTGAAAACCTCAAGAAAGTTGAAAAACCATTTTTTTGCTTAAACTGTCTCTAACCAACACAGAATCAGAGTTTTGTTGTGAAAATAGAAATAAACACAACGTACTTGGATTTCATAATCTCCAGTCCTATATTTTCATTATAATTCCTTATAGGGAATTTAAACTTTTATTTATTAACAGGAACTAACTAGATGTAATTTCTACTAAGTGCGGAAATTGCAGGAAAGTTAATCTTTTATTTGTTAAACACAAAACAACCTAATCTAATTCCTGTTACCTTGCACAGAATGAAACCTAACTGCAATTTTAAACATTTGGGAAACGTTTCTTATACGTCTTTTAAGACATTACCATAGCGTTTTTAAAATCTCTTTAAACGTTCCCAAAATGTACAGGGAATGTTACTTTTACACATTCGGAAAACGTTTTAAGAATGTTGACACAGGACGTCCTCAGGACGTTCCACTTTGTAAATAGGACCTTCCTAGGATATTTAACGATCTTAACGAAGACCTAACGGGGACATATGGACCTTTTCGGGACATCCTCCGAATCTACAGAACGTCCCGAACGTACGTCCATCGGACGTACATAGGACGTTTTTGTGCTATTTGGGATTACGTTATTCAATTATTAATTATATTGTATATTATAATTGTATTATTATATTTTGTATATTTCTATAAATTATAAATTTTCATTGACACTTTTATACTATTTTTAAACGTCAGTTAAAATAATCTGGTTACGGTCAGTGGACCGTAATAGCCGAGCGCACGGTTCTTTTACCCGAATCGGAGCGCATCGCTGTCTTCAACAGCTTACTGCGACGTTAATATGAGCCGCACCACCCTACAGATAAGCTTATTTTATAGAAAACACTTCAACGAATGTGGTAGTTTTTTTTCGGACTTTTAAAATCACGACCTCGAGCCGAAATTTGCAAAACAGATATTTGTTTATAATTTTCAGTATTGCAAAAATGATTGACCTGGAAAAACATTTATTCAGAAAAGTCGTATCCTTCCCGATTAAAACAAGAAACGATATTTCCGAGATATAAATTCAGAAGTACAATTCAGTTTCATGAGAATGGGCAAAGACCAACAAATAAGAGGCCTCTATTTCTTAAACAAATTCGAAACTGGAACAATGATGACTTAAACCCCCTCTAATTTCACGTGGACTACACCATGGCCTATTTTGAACAAAATCCCAGAAATCGAGGGAAAAAAGTGATCGATTTGACGTGGAATGCCCCTTTATCAATTTATAGTTAAATGTCAAGAATAATTAAAATTAATCTCTTCAGTTTAATTAAGGTACAAATCTCTACAGCATATTGAAGTGGTCGAAAACTTTCTACTTTCTGTGGTTGGTGTATATTTCACTGAAGAAATGAAGAACTTTTGTGCAAAGATTGTCGAGGAATTGCTAGGAAGATAATGTATGGTGATAGTACGTAAAGGACAATATTGAACTAAATGTACTTTATCATAAAACGGATTGAAGTCAAAAAAATCGATAAAACTTCTCGGGTCCTTTTTTTTAAACACCCTGTATATGGTATAAAATTGTACGAAGGCAAAGTGAACCCTTTTTCGTTGAGTGAAATTACGTTGAAGGAGTGCAATTCTACGTTTTCATTGGCCGTTTCAAAAGTTTACATCCGAGTGCAGAGGAGAATAAAAATGAAAGCCACACTTCAACCACCGAATTGATACGTATTAGCCTCGATGTAGGT